CCCCAGGCCCTGATTGGCCTGGGGGCAGGGGAGTGCATGGCCCCCCCCCCCCCCCACGCCCTGTGAGCTGAATTTCAAATGGTGTCCTATGTGAAGGACATTTGTAGATGAGTAAATTGCATGTTTGTGACGGACTGGGCCGGGTGTGGGCACAGCTGAGGGCGTCCGCTCAGGGCAAATTGCTCAAAATTGGGGGCTCCTTACAGCCCCAGACTGGAAACCTTCCCAAACAGGCCATAAACTGGTCACACCGAACACTTTAGCTGCCTACCTGGCCAGCTAGAAGCCTCATGAGCAAATCCCCTCTGACACCCCAGCAATATCCATGCCCCAAACAGCCCCGGGCCTAACACACAGGTGAGGGGTTATAGGACCCGATCTCACCTACCCCGAACGGGTTCTCCGGTCCCAAGAACCAGCCACAGATCCCAGGTCAGTTTACACTCTGGACCTTACCCACAAATCACACTGAGCCAAACCTTTAGAATCGAACATCTAAAGGTTTATTACAGAAAGAAAGAAAAGCATGAGAGCGAGGTTGTTAAAGTATCGTACATTACATGCATTGAATCTCCCAGTTCTCGATGCAGGCTCGCAGCAAAGATGTTATAACTGCTGGCTTAAAAATCTCTGGTTACATCCTATGTCAGGATGGGTCCGCAGTTCTTTCCGGCTCGTTGTTCCCTGCAAGGCTCCATCTGTGATTCGGAGCCAAGCTGAAGACCAAAAATGGAGGATGGCACTTATATACCTCCTGGGTCTCTTCCAAGCTGGAGAGTCACATGGTCAGTGGCCAGGCCTATAGCTTCATTCCCCAGGTGTGTCTTTGGCCTTTAGAGAGCTGTTGTCCCTAGAGCCCCACTCATTAACATATCCATATGCTGAGCATTCCTCGCCTATTGCTCAACCTTATACAGCAAAGTTTCCAGCATCCATAGAGAGTACATGTTTATAACTTCACGTACAGTTATTATACAACTACCTGAATAGCATATATAGAATCAGAAGACAATAAGCTTTTGTTTGACACCTTTGGGGCCAACACCCCCCCCCCCCCCATGGGTGCAGCAGTGAGCTGGCTGCTCCCTTTAAAATCCAGTAACGTGACAATGTTACTGTTCAAATTTTCACTCAGCTGGAGGTTGGGTCTATCCTTTTTCCAAAATAAACTTTCTAAGTATGCTCCGAAAGTGACTCATTGTGCTGTATCATGAATAATAGCTTCATTTAGGCCTCAGTTGAAGTATTGTGTCCAGTTCTGGGCACCGCATTTCAGAAAGGATTTGGAGAAACTGGAGAAGGTCCAGAGAAGAACAACAAGAATGATGAAAGGTCTAGAGAACATGACCTATGAGGGAAGGCTGAAAGAATTGGGCTTCTTTAGTTTAGAAAAGAGAAGACTGAGGGGGGACATGATAGCAGTTTTCAGATATCTAAAAGGGTGTCATGAGGAGGAGGGAGAAAACTTGTTTATCTTGGCCTCTGAGGATAGAACAAGAAGCAATGGACTTAAACTGCAGCAAGGGAGGTTTAGGTTGGACATCAGGAAAAAGTTCCTGCCTGTCAGGGTGGTCAAACACTGGAATAAATTGCCCAGGGAGGGTGTGGAATCCCCATCTCTGGAGAGATTTAAGAGCAGGTTAGATAGACATTTGTAGAATCTCCATCTCTGGAGATATTTAAGAGTAGGTTAGATAGACATCTGTCAGGGATGGTCTAGATCAGTGGTTCTGAAATTGGGGTCCATGGGCCACTAGTGGTCTGCAGACACCTTACAGGTGGTCTGTGGCTCAAGCTCAGCCCCCTCCCTCCCCATAAAATGGAGAGATTTAAGAGCAGGTTAGATAGACATTTGTAGAATCTCCATCTCTGGAGATATTTAAGAGTAGGTTAGATAGACATCTGTCAGGGATGGTCTAGATCAGTGGTTCTGAAATTGGGGTCCATGGGCCACTAGTGGTCTGCAGACACCTTACAGGTGGTCTGTGGCTCAAGCTCAGCCCCCTCCCTCCCCATAAAATGGGGAGCCCACACTGGTGTTGCAGCCTCATGGCACCTGTCTCTTCCCCCCCCCCCCCCCCCCGCCCCCCCCGGGGGGGGGGGACGGGGGGGGGGGGGGGGG